AGACTGCGGTTATGAATGGAAGTCAAATGCGGGGTCGCTTTCACGAACGGGATTGAACGCCAAAGACTCCATTCCTCATCCCTTACCAGCCTTAATAGTCGCAGAATCGTTTCGTCAAGTGTGAACATTTCGAGGCATTCAAGCAAATGTTTCTTGACTTCATACGACACCTTCACCTGCCGGTATCAAGTCGGTTCGTTTATGTGGTGGATACGAGACGAGCTTGTCGAATTCCGCACGTAACACAAAAAGGCATGAGCTAGATCATGAAACACCCAAAGTAAGCTGCCTGTCAATTTTTTGTGGCTCGAAACCCAGAGCTTCTCCAGAGACTAGAGAGAATCCAGAGACAGCTTCAACGATAATGAGGAATTTTTCAAAAAACCTTCCGAATAAGAAGAATGGACGACTGGAGCGAATGGACTGGAGATGAATTGCCAAAATTAACCTCTGCTACTTCACAATGTGCTCGGCGTAGTTTTCATTGCTGTGGGATTTCATCCTACTTAAAATGAATAGCGCAAAAATTACTACTGTAAGGGAAGTTCTGATTCGTCTCTAGCACCAGATCACGTTAGCTCTGGTGCTTTACACTGTCGAAACGCTTCAAAAACCTTCCCGACCACCCAGGTAGTGCATTTACGATGATTTACGGTGCCGAAGCTACACAAATAAATTTTTAAGGGGGTATGTTGTTAAGGATATCCATATTTACTTCCAGAAATCTTTCTAACATAAGATTCCGAAATTACCCATAGAAGAGACAGCGACTGGGCCTAGAGTAAGCTCGAATGCAAAGATAAGTACCTATCAAATAAAACTCTAAATCAAAGACTCAAGTCTCTTTGCTGGAGCAATGTGGACTAACCTGAAGTTGGCGACTGTTGCGTGGCTACGGGACAGTATCAATCCAAGAATAAGGAAAACTGCCCTTTCTGAGCGAAAACATTTGGGAAAATTCTGTCACAGTCATAATGGTGTAATAATAGATAATAGATAGAAATGGCAATGAATGAGTCAGAAGTTGTTCACAACATAAAAACCAACGGCAGGCAGTGAATTCCCTAAATGGATTATTGGGAACACCCATTAGGGGTGAATGACGTATTGCAAACAGAATACCGAGAAAGAATACGAGTAAGGGAAGGGGATTGATTGAAAATAATATATGAATCAAGAAAATAGTTTACTGATTCGAAACTGATATTTACTGGAGTCCACACAGAGCGAAAAATAGTCGACAGGTATGTTGGTGTATGTAGCTCAATCGAAAATCGGAAAATCGTTCAATATTGCCCTACCGTGATCAGATGATCCTTCACGAAACATTTTTTTATTGTAAAAATGAAAAGTTCTTGAATTGGAAGTAGCCACCACTTTCTTGTAGCCATGTGTACATGAGAATGGATGGAGATACTGAGTAGCCAAGTGACACGCTGTCACATGCATGATCCGAGGATCAAATCCGGAAGCAATTCCCGACAAAGACAAAACCTCTGGCAGAGAATACAAGTTCCGGCTCGTAGTTAGCCAGCACCATCCAGTGTGCATGCCACATGCGCATTCAAAGGCCATGGCTATCCTAAATGGAGGTCGAATGCGGGGCGTACCCCAAAACGGGATTAACGAACCTCAGAATACTTCCCTCATCGATAGTGCAATGGGATAAACACAGCCCTATGGTGCTAGAGGTCATCAATCATACAGTGCCCAGGGCATATAGGACTTTTAGCAAAAGAGTACCTTTGCTATTATTAGGGATTGATGGATTAGTCTCAGTTTATCAGAAATATATGGTGAAAATGTAGTTGGGGGGTGCCAGCGCCCTTCCGTCTAGTTGCTCTGCGTCTCTGACCCAGGCGGCAGAGT